CGGCTCGGGGCGAGGAAGCCGGCGGCGGGCTGGGAGGGTAAGCGGGGCGCTCCTGCCCGCCGGCAGCGGGGCCAGGGGAGAGGGGGGGGCCGCTTGGCTCGGGGCTGCGTGAGAGCGGAAGAGGACAGCTGCCTGGCCCCCGGCGGAGACCAGGGCCGCCTGCTCGCCAGGGAGCCCCAGCGGCCTGAGGGGCGAGGGAGGGCAAAAGGAAAACCGGAGGTCGTGGGTGATAACGCCTAGCGGGCTCTCTGTCGTTGCGGTTAAACTCGCCTCACCCTGCCTGCTTCTGTAGCAGTTTTTACTCGTGCGTGCCGGCGGCCTGGTGACAGCGCGCTCGGCGCGGACGGCTTGGCTTGTTCTACGCCGCCGCCGTTGGGAGGGACGGTCGCGCTGGCGGGAACTTCAGAGGAAGTCTTATCTGAGCCTGGGATTTCCTCTAGGCCTCTGCCGCTAGTCTGCTGCCCTTTTACAACTGACTGACGCGTTAGTTGCGGCTGCCCCTAGCAGGGTGTGCTCCGTGCCCGTCTCCAGGTTGCTGACTGGATCTCTCTAGTCAGCCTGGCCTCATCTGAGGTAACAGTATCAGACACCCCGACGGCAACTGCTGTGGCGGGCGGCGGTGCCCATTGTAGGGGCTTGGCACAAGGCGTTATGCCTTTCCTTCCAGCTGTGCACAGCTGTACGTGACGTACTCCTCACTCTCTGGATTTGTGTTAGAGTTAATCCCGGACAATCGGGATGGGAAGAATTGTAGATGGTCTAATGCAAAATTCTCAGTTCCCTTCCCCCACGTAAATGCAAGTTAGACTACAGGATAAATTCAGGATGAGCGCTGCTATCTTTCACATTTAAAAATAAGATTAAACATAGCTTTTCTAGACTTGAAAAATTTGCTGTCGTTGCCTTAGCTTTCAGGTGCTAATATGTCTATTTATTACGCTATTCTCTTCAGACGGTTCTGTGCACCACTGATCTTAAAATTAAATTCATTAAGTCCAGCCCCTTTTTTTTTTTTGAAGTTGTTATTCCGTATCAAGATACCTAAACAGCATTTGGATCAACCTATTAAATGTATAATTTAAAACTTATTTTTAAAAAGTCCATTTTTCAGTACTAAATACTACTGGTTTAGAATGAACTTTATACTGTTCTCCTAGAATAACGGTTCATGATGGTGTGATAATCTTAAGTAGTTTAGCCTAAAAGTCCTCACTTCTTGTACGTGGTAAATGGCACAGATGCCGACAAAAGAGGTCCTTAATTGTCCTAGACGAGTACCTGCAGTACTGGCAGTAGCTAGTACTAGATGCTTGCAAGGTAAATAAAACCTCTGATCACAGTACCTGGCCAACTGTGCTGTGCTGTACAAAGGAGTAAAATCCCTTCCTAAGCCCTGTTAATTGTGCTACTTAAACCCCCAATACCTGCATTGATGTTAAACATGATAAGCAAGAAGAATTCATTAATAAGGAAAGAGAGTTGCAATCCTAAAGCAGCCGAGTTCTGTTAAAGTGCTGTTTTTTTCTATCCTTAAGTTCCATTCCTGCATCAAGAAACCATAATGTAGACTTCTGGATTTTGCAGAGAATACTAATAAAGTAAATGTAATAGGGTACAGGTTAGTGCTTTTGCATAGACAATCAGGGCGTTGTTCATAAGGAAAAAAATTACTAAATATACCATGTCAGTTTTTAAGGTACGGTTTTGAAGCAACGATTTCATTTAAAAAAAGACTTAGTATAGTTTTCTGTAATGGTGATCTTTTTCCTCTTTGTTTAACACCCCCCTCCCCCCCCCAATCTGTCTTTTAAGATTAGTTCTATATGTGTATTTATGCATGTGTTTTTGAATCAAAAAGTGAAAGTGAAAAGCCCTCTCAGGAAGAGCTAATGCGTGCTAATTAGCAGTTTCAACTTTCAAACACCTGTGGTGGAGAGGGTGAGTTAGAAAAAATTGAATTGTAAGAATTGTTTGATTTTGGTGCCTTATTTTAAGAAGCAAAATGCTACATTTAGGTTTTTTTTGCCTGTAATTCCATTTCAGAATTTGGATAAAATCCAAGCACCAATATCTTTGATCAGAATACGATCTAATCATGCTATCACAATTTTACATACTTCTCAGGTTACACAAGTTATATGTGAAGGAATGGGGGCATGCAGTTAGTGTGCCTGGTGCTTACACGATGGGTTTTCTTATTCAATTAATTACCTTCCATGATCTGTATAATTTAAGCTGTGAGGTGTATATGTGGAAGGTGGGAATTTCTGGGAGGTGAGTCAGTATTCAAGGCATGCAGTGCTTTATAGGCGTATATAGGCATCATCCCTGTGCTGAAGCCATTCCGGCAGGCTTCGAGAAAATGCTGAACACAGCTCCCAACAAGTAAATGGGCCCTGTCCTCTGTGTAGAATTTGAAAATTAACCTGACTATGAAAATCATAGAATCATTAAGGTTGGAAGAGACCTCCAAGATCATCAGGTCCAACCGTCAACCCAACACCACCATGCCCACTAAACCATTTCCCTAAGCGCCTCATCTACCCGTCTTTTAAATACGTCCAGGGATGGTGACTCAACCACTTCCCTGGGCAGCCTGTGCCAATGTTTAACCACTCTTTCAGTAAAGAAATTTTTCCTCACATCCAATCTAAACCTCCCCTGGCGCAACTTGAGGCCATTTCCTCTCGCCCTTTCGCCAGTTACTTGGGAGAAGAGACCGACACCCACCTCGCTACAACCTCCTTTCAGGTAGTTGTAGAGAGCGATGAGGTCTCCCCTCAGCCTCCTTTGCTCCAGGCTAAACAACCCCAGCTCCCTCAGCCGCTCCTCAGAAGACTTGTTCTCCAGACCCCTCGCCAGCCTCGTTGCCCTTCTCTGGACACGCTCCAGCACCTCAACGTCCTTCTTGTAGTGAGGGGCCCAAAACTGAACACAGTATTGGAGGTGCGGCCTCACCAGTGCCAAGTACAGGGGCACCATCACTTCCCTACTCCTGCTGGCCACACTATTTCTGATACAGGCCAGGATGCCATTGGCCTTCTTGGCCGCCTGGGCACACTGCTGGCTCATGTTCAGCTGGCTGTCAACCAGCACCCCCAGGTCCTTTTCCGCCAGGCAGCTTTCCAGCCACTCTTCCCCAAGCCTGTAGCGCTGCATGGGGTTGTTGTGGCCAAAGTGCAGGACCCGGCACTTGGCCTTGTTGAATCTCATACAGTTGGCCTCGGCCCATCGATCCAGCCTGTCCAGGGCCCTCTGCAGAGCCTTCCTACCCTCGAGCAGATCAACACTGCCGCCCAACTTGGTGTTGTCTGCAAACTTACTGAGGGTACACTCGATCCCCTCGTCCAGATCATTGATAAAGATATTGAACAAGACCGGCCCCAAAACTGAGCCCTGGGGAACACCGCTCGTGACCGGCCGCCAACTGGATTGAACTCCATTCACCACAACTCTCTGGGCCCGGCCGAGATAGAGGGATTCCTGCAGTAGCCACTGACTGGAGAGAGATGGTGGGATGGTCTGGTTCAAGAGCACTGGGGCAGGCATCGATAATTTCCCCAGTGAAGACAGGTCCTTGTTCTTTTAGGCCTGTTGCCAAAGAAGCAATTTTAGGCTACACAAAACTGTAGATAGGCAAGAGTGGAAGACCCTTAACTGTAATGATAAATAATGTTTGTTTGTTTTTTAATTTTTGTTTTGCTGTAGATTTGGAATGGAAAATAATTTATGTGGGTTCAGCTGAAAGTGAAGAGTATGACCAGGTGTTAGACTCTGTTTTAGTAGGACCTGTTCCTGCGGGCAGACACATGTTTGTATTTCAGGTAAGTTTGATTTAACTGTTTCTAAAAGGGTTGTGTTAATTTGTTTAAAAATGACTGTATCAAACTAAGAGGCACTTGAAAAATAATGGTAAGCTAGAAAGATATTTCAGTCAGCTCTTCAGGTATGATACATCTTCCTTGAAAGTCTGTTCATGAGCTGATATTTCTTGGCCCTGATATTTCCATGGTAATATTTTCACTTGTGGTATCAATAATTAGAGATAGTGATATAACCACTGTTCCTGTAGCTACTGATAATTTTGACCAGTCTGGTTTATAAATATATTCTAGATCACGCAGTAATCAAGAGTGCCAGTTACCTGGTTTACACTAGCACCATCAGGCTTAACTCTGCTGCAGTTGGTGGCGGTTTCAGACAATCAGGAGCACTAGGTTAATGCAGACATCTTCAGAAGATCTGGCCAACAAATTCATTGTAAAACTCAGCCAGAACAGTCAAGAGTTCATTTCTATTTGGCAGGATAAGTGTTCAACTGTGGTGTTTGGCTAAGCATGCTAAATCACAACAAAATATAGCAATTTGTAAAATAAGACGGAATACCAACGGTTGATAGCAGGCTTTTGGGACACAAGTGTGTAGATCAAGACTGTCCAACAAACTCTGAAGCACGTGACAGTCCTATAAAATACTGCTGTTAAAGCCAGAAGTTACTAAGAAGGAATAATGAAGGGAAGGAAAACAGGGAAAGAGCAGCACTAAGATGGCTTATTAGCCTATTCTGGTTTCCATTTTAGGTCAGCGAGAGGGCAAAAAAACTAAAGCAGACTTGCCTAAATTCTTATGGAAGTTTTTTTGGGTTTGGGTTTTTTATCAAAACTATGGTTTAGCTCACTTTTTTCTCTATTTATCAAATACTAGTATTTGTCTTGTAAACTGAGAGCAAAATCCATCAGCAGAAAACTCAAGATTGAAACTGAGTATGGCTTATTGTGTAAGAACCACGCTACTTTCCCAAATGCTATAAATTCACTATTTAATGGCAAATGCATGCTGGAGTATGAGCATTTAAAAAAAAAAAAGGCACTAATGAATACACTTTCTTATTTCTCACAGTTACTGTAACTATTTTAAAATAGTATTAACACTTGTGAGGCATCTTGATTAATCCCGTAAGTTCCAAGAAACTTTTTTCTTACAGGACAGGCTAAAGGAATAGGATTAGGCTGGAGGTTACGTTTATCAACCACATACATGCAAATCAGTCTTGAAACATTTCTGTTTGGTTTTGGAGCTGGGCCTAATTTTTCCACACTACAAATAAAGCTGATGTGTAACAAATGCATTATTTATTAACAGTCCTTCCATTATCAAGCTATTATAGCTTATGGCATTAATTGGTCAGAAATAGGTGATTCTCTGTTGCCCTCAAAGGGACTACCTTGTAAGACTACATCCAGCTGGCATTTACATGTCTAATTTAAAAGACGCACTGTTCTCAATTAAGTTACAAAGATTCATTGTTGATGGTGATGGGAAGGAGCAGGAGGCAGGTGCCTAAAAAGGCATGTTTGGGCTGTATGATTAGGAAAGCTTTGAAAATTAAATTTACTGGTCTTGCATTTTCTGTAGGATGGACTCATTGATTGTATCCCAGTTATAAATGACACTACAGCTAAATTAGGAGTAGATACGTAGACATTTTGGTTAGATTGGAATAGGTCCTGTAAAAGAGTCAGTACTCCTTCTGTGTTATAATAAAGTATCCCTTTTATTTCTTACGGAAGTATTGTTGGTCTAAGTATATTAGACTTCAAAAGCACTGGCTTTCAGCTGGGGGTAGGACTCAGCTAATGTGTACACAGGAGACCACCAAAAACCCAAGTGCTGCAATAAGCCTTTGCTGATGACTGAAGCTACTTTATTCACCAAACTGAAGCAGCCTGAGAGATGGAAAGAACTAGCAAGGGAAGGCCAGAACGGGGCAAAGCACAGAACTGCAGGAGGCATATAATATAAAGAAAAGAGATTGTGTTCACTAGGGACAGCACAAGGAAAGGACCTTTGTGGAGGTGTATAAGATTTTCAGCTAATAATATGCTGTAGGTTTTTCTAAATAGGAAAATGGCTGAAACAGCAAGTAAAATGGAGTACCACACAGGTAAAATACCAAGGATCATAAAACTACCTTTGTTGAAAAGAAGCTGTGTATCAGGTTGGGAAGCCAGCTTTACATACAGAAAGATGGAAAACTATCATACTTTTCAGACTTACACAATCAGCCTTTTTTTTTTTTTTAAACATTTAAAAATATTTCAATATTAAAGGCCCACAGCTTGCCCTATTTCATTCTAAATACCAAGATATAAGTAGTGAAGCCTGATTCCTTCTCTCTGTGCGCTTGGGGATTTGTAATAAATTCACAGAAATTTCTATTTGAGAATATAAGCACATAAATAATTTATTATCTTTAAGTGGGGATATGACCTCACACTAACTTAGCTACTCTGCAGTAATAGCTACGTGAATAAATGTATCATGTGGAAAAGCGAGATAATTCAAGACAACATATACATTGAGTGATTTCATAAAATTCTTAAGTAATTTCTAGGATAAGAATGGCATATTCAGACAGCGATTTTTATGCAGAAGTTAATCCTACTGTCTCTTTTTGCCTACCGAAATATCTATTTGCAGCTGCTCACTTATGACTTGGTCACAACAAGCTCTTCTTTTTTCTTCCACCTGTGTATGATCATTTGTTTCCCAGGCAATTAAGAGGTTTGACATCCAAGGCAGGAAGTTCAAAATTTGAGAAAAGAAAGCAGTTTTAAACAGTGTTCAGTGTCTTTTCCACTCAGCAAAACAACGCTTGAGAGTTAAGTAGGATTAAAACAGAGTATTTCCTTGGGTCCACATCTATATCATAGGATATTACAGGACACAAAATGACAATGGGAGCCTGGAAGAACTAAAATCCCACATTAGGGTGTGAGTTGAGTTTCATGGCGGGTTAAATGGAACACTGTCCTTTTGCTGTATATTAGTCTATAAGTGCCCACTGTGGAATTTAAAGTAATCAAATGGTCCTGGGCACTGTTAGAACAAGACTACTGAATTAAACTAGTGATTTCATCTGTACTGGCAGCTCTTGGCATTTCTTCAAGCTTCTACACTTGTCCTATTCCTTGGTCATCTTTTTCATTTCCCTATGTGAGTTGTAAAGCCATGTGGTCATTTTCTGTTCCCTTCAGGGCCGGAGGAAGTTGTGTTCTACGTGATTCCCTGGTTGCTTCTCCTCCCTCTGGTGTATTAGCACCTGAGAGGTCTGACTCATCTAATTCTTCTGCAAAGTGCCTACAGCTTCTTATAAAAAGCTAGACTGGTTTGAAGGCTCAGAATTGAAGTAGCGAAGAGCAGAAGCCAATGATGCATGACCACTAGCTCTCAAATTTCACAGTGCTGGAGCACATAAATACTACGGAAAAGTAGGGATGAGAGGGACAGTAGGAATTAATCCCATTTGTCCTCTGTCCTAAGGCAAGATTTGTTACACCTGAACCATTCTAACATATATTGTTAATACCAACTTGTACTCGCAATACAGGTGTTCATTCCTGGCTTTAGATCTTCACGTAAAATTGTAAATATGAAGCTGTTTCATTTATGCTTAGATTGCTGTTACTTTAAATCCTACAGCAGAATAAGGCATCACATTTTATCAATAAATGTGTAGTTAGGAACCATTTTAAGGGACTGATGTGAGACACATTTTGCAAGGCAAATTTTATTGATTATTAATAACTTGCAGAGCCATGGTAAATAAGGACGTTGAGGAAGACTGTAAGATGCCTATTAATTAGGATTCCATCCTGGCTGAAAATATGTCAGATTTCTTAGAGCGATGATACATTTAACTGCATACATTTTAAGAAATGTAGGCATGTGGAAGGACGCAAGAGAGAAGGTAGTTTATTCCTTTTCTAGAAATCTGTGGGACAGCTCAAAGCTCACTGTAGCCTGTCCCTGCTCTTCTTGCTGAAGTATAAATTGCAGCCTGTATTTTTAATGGTTTAGTCTTGTTAAAAACACACATACAGACCAATTCAACCTCAGAGGTACAAAAAAAAAAAAAATCTTAAGTCTGCTAAATTACCAAGATGGGCTGGAGAACAATGGCACTGAACAATTGGAGGGATGTTAGTACACTTGCTCAAACAACAGTTCAGCTGATCATATATTTAAAAACAGTTTTGGATCAAAGCTGTCTAATCACCCATGAGGAATGTCAGCACACAATATTACTGTATTCTAAGTAATTCTGTCTCTAGAGAATAGTGTCCTAAATTCACTAGGATAATCACGACCCTAAATTCAGGGTTGATGTTGTGAAAGCAGGTATATTTTTCGGTTAACCTGAAAAACAATTTTAAATACAGTCACTACTCAGCTGCTAAGACGTACGTACTACTTAAGATTCCCCTGCTAGATAGGCATGTGCTATCGATTTTATTTTAATCCATCTTTCCCTTTCACATTTAGGCTGATGCACCTAACCCAGGGCTTATTCCAGATGCAGATGCAGTAGGTGTAACAGTTGTGCTAATTACATGCACCTATCGAGGTCAAGAATTTATTAGAGTCGGCTACTATGTAAACAATGAATATACTGAAACAGAACTGAGAGAGAATCCACCAGTAAAGCCAGATTTTTCTAAGGTAAGGCATGTTTTGTTCTAGTCATATATCAAAGGTATGCTTATAGAAAGAGTTTTTTAAGAACCAAAACCAAACCCCAAGTGATTCCATAAAGTGCATGGAATGAGGCATCAAATAATGGAAAAAACTTGGGGGGACAAGCTACAAGTGCCATGTAGTTGCCATAAATTTGGAGAACATTGAGAAACCTGCAACAGTTTCCACCAGCTTGAAGCCTTGGCTGGACTTTATTATTTTACACTGACTGTGTGAAACAAACTGTTGGGTTCCCTCTACCCGCACCACTGTTGACAAAGTGGCTCTGTTCTTCAGAAAAACAGAGTAATGTTTTTTTTAGGACAGTGAACTTGGAACTAATTTTTAAGTATTAATGTAACACAGTTATTATCCAGCTGTTCTAGTGTTAGAGCTGCGGTTTCTGCAAAACAAACAAACTGAAGAACAAGTTACATATAAAATGGGAAGATGGGTAACCTGGTGTAAGAGCAGGTTGGGTGATTATCCAATCAATGGACAATTTGACCAAGGAAGTATATAGATTAAGTTTAAAAATATATATATCCTTCATGGTAAAAATTAAACCAGGACTAGAATTAAAAGATTATGTGAAATAGAATTATTTGGAACCTAATACCTTGAGGAGAAGGATCAATTAAACATCAAAAACTAGTCAAAATCCTGTGAAGTACTCTACCCAGGCAGACTTTGTAGAAGCCAACAAGGTTCTATACAGCATCCGGGTTTGTTTTCATGGAAGATTTTGTAGAGTTGGGTGTTCTCTTTACAAAAGCTGACGTACATGTGTACACACTTACGTTCCAAAGTTGTGTGATGGTGCAAATTTTGTTATTTCTCAAGTTTGCATGAATTATATGACTGGATATATGAAGAAATGAATGGGATAATGCATGTATTATAATGACTAGTACAGAGATAATCCCCATAGTCCCTGAAACTGATCTTCAAACATAACTAAACTGAATTGGTTTTTAAAAGTCGCTAATGATTTTCTATGCCTAACTTAATTTTCAGGGATCAGATGCTCAGTATGTTCTCAAAATTCAAAATTACTATTAATTTTGAGGATTCTTAAACTTATAATCTGTTCCTTTCTTTTTTCTTTCATTTAAATCATATACTTATTTGTTATTTCGGATGTGAGTGCCAGAATGTTGACTTCCTTTAAGCACTTGAATTTAGAAATGCGTAGAACTACTTGTCTTAATTCTCTGATTTGCTTATGTAAAAAGCTAGCACTGCTTCTGTGAAAAAGAACAGCAAAAGCTATCATGTATTTGTATAAAAAGTCCTTAATGTGACTTTGGGACAGAATTTAAACATACGAGTAGAATAGAAGGTTATTAAACACATTTAATTGTAATTGACAGGTAATAGACCCTACGAGGTTCAAAAAAAGAAATGGTCTTGTTAATCTGCATAAGGGGTTGGGAAATATTTAACGAGAGTGTACTTCCTTGGAGAATAAAATCAGCATTACTACCAAAGCAAACTTTTCCCGTGATCAGTCTTAACTTTCATCATGAGTAGCCAATGGCGATAAGTTGCCATCCTCCAGAGTTAACTATATATTATCTTGAAAATGGTGAAAGATTAGGAGAAAGTGAGCATTTTCTTTTTTGCTGCATAGATAAACAAATACAACGTGTTTTCAAAGGAAAATGAAGGCCAGCCATGAGAATAAAATAAGACTAATGTCTAGGCATGTCCACTGCCACCATATTAATATCTTCCAAATCCAAGTAATTTTTTTACTTTAAAACTTCAGTAGACAAATTAAAATTCAATTAGTGAAATCAATCTAAAGCATGGTAATTTAATTTAAGGAAAGGTTGTACTCTTAAATGAAGACAGACAGTTGATGGAATTTATACAATTATTGCAAACATCGTAAAGTTGATGCAAAATTTTATAAAGTGCTGTGGTTTGCAAAATCTTTGTGGGGGTAGTCATTTGCTTTACTGAAAGCTGGCTAAAATAATAAACACGTGCACTTTACTTGCAGAGTTCTCGTACAGCCTTGAACTCACGGAACAGTTAAAAATATCCTCTCAAGAAAGCAGTTATTTTGCTGAGTAGGATATCAGAGTAAATGAATGAGTGCTGTGTTTCTGTAAGCATGTTTCTGATCCATAGATAGTAGCTATAGATTCACATTTATATGAATTATCTTTTTAAAGAAATTGTTTCACAATTTACAATACAAGGCTATGGGGAGTAAAAGGAAAAAAATCTGTATGCACGTGAACTCCAGTTTGAGGTGTACACATTACATAATCCATGTATCTTCTTCTCTCCCAGCTTCAAAGGAATATTTTGGCATCTAATCCCAGAGTCACGAGATTCCACATTAATTGGGAGGACAACACTGAAAAACTGGAAGATGCAGAGAGCAGTAACCCAAATCTACAATCACTGCTTTCTACAGATGCATTACCTTCAGCATCAAAGGGGTGGTCAACATCAGAAAATTCATTAAATGTTATGTTAGAATCTCATATGGACTGCATGTGACTAACCACCATCATTCTGGTACTGTACATGTGTTAAACTGTAAAAACAACCAGAACTATTTCCCTCAAATTCCATAAGTACATAGTTGACAAGCAATGTGAAGAACTTGTTTTAAAACATCCTGTAGAAAGTTTATAAAAAAAAAAAAACAAAACAAAAAAAACCAAAAACAACAAACCAGTATTTGAGCAAATTGTGGAATATAAATACAACTATTTTTAAGTAATTGCCTTTTTTCTCTAATGTGTTATTCTATGTGGTCTAAACCAAACCTGATTAAAGTATACATTTTCTCCCCCCTCCCCCTTTACTTTGTAAGCACTATTAAAAGCTAAAAAAATGAAAAGTTGAAACATTCAGGCAAAATGAAGGAATAATGCCATGTCCTCATCTCTGATATCCAGATTGCCAAATATAAAGTGGCCTTTAATAGCAGCTTAAGAACAAAACTGTCATTAGATGAACTGCAAAGAAAAAAGTATCTCTTGAAGAAAAAAAAAAAAGTCCAAAAATGTCCTCTTGCTGTGAAAGCAGGCGGCACAGTATAATTTTAGGTGCAAGCTTCTTTTCCTTTCAAGGCACATACTTGTTACTTAAAGCATGCAATTTGAGATTTACCATCTGCTATCTTGGATTTTAGGACTTTTTTTTTTTTCCCCCAATCTCCTGCTGCTGCTGTTTAGTCAAACTGTGGTTTAGGGACATTGTTTCATGTGAATTTGGGTGGGTATCTCAGCAAAGAACCCTTTTTCAGCCACCCTGATAGCACACACAATTGGTTGGAAGGATTCAAGCAATTGCTAGAAAATTTAAGCATCAAAAGGAATCGCATGAGTATCCAAAAAATGCTCTTCTGCAAGATTATTATGTACAACTGCTGGGTTGGTATGTTTATTTTCAGGCATGCTTTATTCTTGTAGTCTTTTTAACTAGTAATAAGGAGTTTATATGCTTTCTTTCAGTTTTTTGAAACATCTGGAATTTAAAACTTTTCCATTTTCTCTCTACCCTTTAAGGCAATCCTATGCACTGGTATAAATCAAAATTCAAACCCTGTTGTGGCAGGCATGACACACTCAAGAATACATTGCCTGCCCTGAAGCTCTTGCACGGAGACATCCCTATTACCTGAGGCATCCTTGAAGATAAAAAGAACTAGGCAGTAAATTGTGAAGACTTAAGACATTGTTATGACACTAACAATTGAGTTATTCCTTCCAATCATCATCAGCCTTATACGTTTACTGTGACTATATGTGCATTTAAAATTGTAATCTGTCATGTCAGATTACAAGAATATAGTTCTGCTAGTTACTAGTAACTGCCCAAACTGTGAACCCATGTAGGTTCCAGGCCCTTAAAAAAAGGTAAATGTCATGATGACTGACAGTATAGCTCTGAATAAAAATAGAACACTTTCTCTTCTCTTTCTGCATTCTCTAATAGGGATGAAGATGTCCCAAGCAGTTAGCACTTCTGTCTTTCCACATCATTAGTGAAATTGTCTTCATTTCTAACATATATTTTTTTAAATCGGAAAGGAATGTATATGCACGTTTCTTTCTTGTATGGAAACTCAGCAGTACATATGGAAGCTGAATGAATTAATGAAATCCATTAATATTTGGAACCCTAATTCTAATGTGTGCTCTTGAAAAATCTCTCTGTAATTGTTTAAAATGATGATTGGCAATTTAAAAACATTAACACTCTAATATCTATATGACTTAACACAAAGAACTGGTCCCGCAAACCAGCAGTTGCTTCACTTGAGGGCTGAAATTATGTGAACTTTTAAGAAAGATCTTTTGATTTTCACTTATATTGCAACTTTAAGGTCTACAGTGACATTTTGAGATTTTTTCATGCACTTTATTGTTCTATTTATAAATCTATTTAAGATATCTCTTAAATGTAAGCATGTAAATAACATAGTCATCTGCTGAAAGACTGGCAGGCTAATGAAGTCTGCCTTGAGCTAAGGCTACCGTAGTAGTATTTCAAACCCTTACACCTATTGAAGATTCAAATTAAAACAAGATCAAGTGCAAGCTGTAACCAGAATCCATCCATCAGTAGCATGAAGGCTTCTTAGAAGCGTATGCCTCAAAGTGGTGGAAGCAAACTGTATCACTGCTATTGCAGAATCAACTACGAAATACAGTCGGCAAAACTACGTCACCCAGCAAACCAATTAATTTAGAGAAATCAGAAAGTGAAGATCTATTGTTCTGTTCAGGAGGAAAAAAGTCAACTGTGCACGTGAACTCGGGTGCAATAAACTTCAAGCTAGACCGGATGGCATGATGCCGCAGTAGAATTTGGCACCACCTTACCTGATATACTAACACATCCTAGGTATAGCTGACCCACCAATTACGGGAAAAATAATAACTCTGCTGTGCTTGGTGAAAACTGGAGAAGAACAACCATACCTCATGAGAGCACCTCATGATCTTTGCAAGAGAAACGGTCCTTCTATGCTTTTTGAGAGACTGGATGCCTCTCGGGTCTTCTACAACTTTGTCCAGATTTTAGCAGTCCATACACACTGTCCTCTGAATATCACATTTCCAGGCAAAATCACATTCCAGAGACATGGAATTTGAGAAACCAAATTCCAGTACTTCAGAGGCTTCAGGTCTGATCATTGGGCAACATCACAGCACAAATTAGTGGTATAAAAAGATACAGTGTATATAAGGCATCTCTGTAAAGACTTGTCCCTGATGTCTGAAAGTTTTGAAACAGCAGGGCTATATACATGACATACAGACAGCACAGCATTACAATTTCAAGGTCGAAAACGAGTTCACCTTCCCACAAACCTCCACTTGCAGAGACCACCAAGTTGCAAGGGAGTGCTACAGATTCTATTGACAGGACTGGTGATGCATCTCACTGTATTTTTACCTCGGCTAGATAGACTCGATTCCATTAGAAGACTGTCATAATGCTTATCAGAGGTTATTCATGTACAAAGAAGTAAACGGATCAGACAAGGTAACATTAGGGATGAAAAACATGGGTGGGGTTTTTTATGTCTAGCTTGAAAAACACTTGTCCCTTCACCTTACAGTCATTGTGATTTATTCATGTATCACCTTCAGTCTGAATTACTGTGACACCGAGTTTGAAGCAGGCAAAAAGGCTCCAGCTCCATCATAATGGAGGCTGGTGAAATTTAACCTCTCCAGTGGCTCCTCAGAGCTCCACTGAAAAAGCCAACCCTTACCAATCTTCAAGACTGCAGCAACTCAGAACTTTGCTACAGTAAAGTTTATATATACAGCTTAGTTTATAGCTTGCCAGACAATCTATATTCTTGAGATGTGAGTGACAAAGTCACAAAGACAAATCTGATGATCTGACAGTCCATTCTTTTCCTTTGTAGGGCCTCAACTGCTGATTTTCTGGAAGTCAGCTCAGACTGGAGGCTAGCCACTTGCAGCTGTACAAAGATTGCCCACTGCCATCTGAAAATAGTGGTAGGGAAGAAAAAGGAAAAAAACCAAAACACCTTATGTACACCACATACACTCCTGGCAAATCCTCATTTACCAGAGACAGAAAAAGAGCAAAGCTAACTAAATCTTGTGGCTTCTATCTGGGCAGCTGCAGGAGACGCTTCATGTACTTAACTACCCTACCCCTTACCCATAGCACAGTGGTCTGCAAGCTTGCACATTCTCTCATTTTTTTGAGAGCCACAGAAGTTTGGTCCAGAGATGATGGGTTAATTGTTCCTGTTGTTGCTAGCTGGAGGGCTCTGCTCAGTGCCAACTGGGAAGATGCAACAAAACTGGCAACTACCTATAAGGGCTGGCAGTGTGTGGGGGACTGCTCATGCTAGGCCCTCCTATTTGTATTTATGTTTCCAGTTAAAGTTCTGCTTCTTAAGAGCTGGTCTGGTAGTGTGTGATATGAGAGCTGGGCTGCAGAAGACAGGTGGAG